AGGAAAGTTGAATAAAAGACTTCAGCCGTTGAGTTCTTTGTGAAGGAAGGAAAAGGCCCTCTTCTTTATTGAGCTTCAGGTGGCGAGATGGCTCCCGGACAGCCAAATGCAAAGAAACATGCAATACAGAAACATCATTTTTATACCCTGTTTGGGGGCGATGGAGTAATCACCCCCTTCCTTTCGCCTTTCCACATTAAACCTTGGTTCCCATTATTTCCCATCCTTACACTTCAGTTAGAAACTCTTATTTCCACACGTGTCCTTGATTTTTAAAAACTTGCATGCTCAGCTGTCCTAAGCTGCCCTCATCTTCTCAAGGTTTTTGATTAAATTTGATCTTTTTAAACTGGTTCCAACACTGATACTGTTTAGTTTCCTATCAGCTTTACCTCCCCTCTCACAGGCCAGCTTGTTCTTGCAACAAAGCACAGTAGCTTCTAGATGCTTCTAAACTTCAGGACTTTCTCATGAGAAAATCCCCTATCTTACACACAGCAAGGCCTTTCCTTAGTGAGAGGATTAATACACTTTTGTTAATCAAATTTTTAGCTTATAATTATGGATTTCTTATTGATTATAATAGTAGTAAATTCATTATCCCCACACATCACAAGGACAACATCATTACAGCTGTGAAGTTATCATTTAAAAGGTGAGCACTGGATAATACAACAGAATACTGTTTTTCATACCCAACATCAAGGGGAATCGCGTTTGGGTTTAAAGGTTGCCCAAAGAAGGTGCAGGGTTTGGACATGATGGACTAAAATGGTGTGGAATTGTGTAAAAGGGGTGGGGAGATGACATCATCACCCCAGAGGGAGATAAAAAGGGATGTTTTGAGATGATATTGGCTTTGTGGTTGACCGGGAACCATCTTGCCATTTGATGCTCAGTAAAGAGAAGTCCTTTTCCTTCATTCCACAAGAAACTCAGCTGAAGTCTTTTTCATTCCTTTTCATCCTTTTTCATTTTTATAGATATTCTTTGATTCTTTCAATTATTTTTGAAGACGTTAGATTACAGATAGTTATTAGGGCAGATAGTACAGAGAATATTAGAGTTAATTATAAATGTCCAGACCCTGGGCAAAAAGAGACGCTCTTGGCTGTGACACGTGTATTTCATCTCTAACCAGTTCTCAATGTTTAGGGCTTAAAAAAGCCTGAAGAGGAGAATAAATGCACTTGGGAGGTCACGGATGCCTTCCACGATGACATTTTCCTCAAGCACGATAGTGAAGTCAGTCACGTCTGGCGGAGAACACTGAGCACCTCTGTCATCTTCAAGGACAGTCAAGATCAACTTTCACATCTTTTGTGTACTCCTCTTCAGGATCAGTCGTCTGTTGGTCACTTTAACAGAAAAAAATCAAGAAACTAAAAAAAAAAGGAGTCTCTGCTATCATCAATGAGTGTAATACCAACGGAAATAAAGTATTCTGCAATGGACTCCTGTGATCCAAATCTAAAACCTGTGATGCAGAAGACAGGGAAGTATTTTAAAAGGCATGAAGGACTAGGTGGACACAGAAAACCTCAAAGACCACCTTTTACAACACATAAATAAATATATTTATATAAACATGGATAGATACAGATATAATACATAATAAAATATGTGTATGTGTATATTTAGCAAGCAGGTCTTCATATTATATTGCATGCACCTCTCTTAAAAAAAGAAGACCTTTAAGCTCTGCAGTCTTTCTGTGCATCAGAATGTTCGAGGTCTGTAAAAAGTAAAAATCATTTATATATATATATATATATATATATATATATATATATATATATATATATATATATATATATATATATGACAGTACCTTTTTAACAATATGAACATTTCAAACATGTCAAAGCCCATAAAACAACTTGGTCATATATCAAGCAGTGCAGTTGGGTTAAATAACACACCTTCTACCCTGTACAGTTTAATGAGCATTTAAAAACCACAATTTTGCTCAAATACTCCATATAAACCCATTCATTTTGGGTTTTCTCGGGAGCGCCCTCAAGCATCTGAGAAACCTGGAGCACCTTTACTGAGTGGCAGCTCTCTTCACTGAAAACTCTCCAAAAGCAGCTTAAACAGAGCTACACACATTGGGGTTTATAGCCTGTGTGGAAGAACTGAACCCTTCAGCTTCTAAACTGAGTGATGAGGCTCTTCTCACGACTTGCACTTTTCCAAAACGGACAGTAGCCCAGTATCACCATTTGCTGGATTCATGAAGAGCAAAGAAGATCTTGCGTGCATTCTAAACTGAGTTACGGAGAAATGAGCTGTGTGCAAAAGAGCTAATGGAAAGTTTCAGCTCCTGAACGAAGTGGAGAAACTCTCTGTTCTCCCTTTTCCACAGTGGAAAGCATCCTGCAGTGTCACAGTCTGTCTGTTTCAGGAGAGGTAAAACACCATCTCACAGACATTCTGTCCCTTTTTAAACTTTTAAACTGCGAGAATCCAAATATTTAAAAAATCTATATTTCGCTTTTTTGGGCTGTTTTTTCACATCACGTTTGGTGTTTGGATGTTTTGGATGTAGAAGAAACAGCCATGTTCGTCCAAGAGCTGAGACAACGAACTCAGTGTGAAATTTACCTTGGAGTGCTAGCGAGCTAACGGTTAGTGGTTAGCTAGCTAGCTTAGCCCACTACAGAAACCGTTCCTCATTGAATCAAGTTAGCGGTGTTTTATTCAGCACTGACAGACTAAACCAGGTAGAACAGATAATCGGTGTGAACAGCACCAACTCAAATCATACAACAAACGCTGAACAGCAGAGTGAGCTAAACTAGCTAGCGTAGCCTAGCATTTTCCCTCTCACTCACTCGGCTTCAACTTTCAAACAGTTTATGAACCAGTTAGCTACTTACTTGAGTCTTGAGCCGAGTCCATAATTCAGGCCGGGCAATGTGTGAATTAAACTGTGAATTAAACTGCTGTGTGAATTAAACTGCTGTAGTCATGAGTGCAGAAGTGCTTATCAGTAACAGCTGAACAGTTGGAAACGATGAAAAACAAATGACAATATTTGTGCATGAAACAATCTAGGTTGTTAAAGACAATTAAAGCTAATAATAATAATAATAATAATAATTATTATTATTATTATTATTATTATTATACTACCACTACTACTAATAATAATAATAATAATTATTATTATTATTATTATTATTATCATTATTTCTTCTTTAACATAACTTTGTTTTGTCCAGAATTAAGATTCACTGCTATGATTCTGCTTTGCTGTTCCACTGAGAGGCAGCAGTTCACTTACATAGGCTGCAGTAAAATGATCACGTGACTGAAACAGGTGGAAGGCCTGCTCACTTCCTGTTTTCTGTGTAAATTAATTTTTAACACGATAATATTGTTTATCACAATAATTCTGGAGGTGATCATTTGTCTAAATTTACATTATCACCCAAGCCTAATGTGTTCTCCAGTCTCATTATCCATTATAGGAGAGACTCAGATCTGTTATCTTTGCAAAGGGAGGCAGCAAAATGTATTAAATGAAGAGGTGCCAACAGTTGTGACTCTGATTTAGGTGCCTTCAGTCATTGTTCTTCAAATAAATATTTTGCATGAAATATGAAAAAGATCATCAATAAAGAATGTTTTTACAGCTTGCTTTGCTCCTGTTTACCAGGGGTGCCAATACTTGTGGAGGGCAGTGTAACAGTAGAAACGTGGATGTACTTTATTCCATGCACACTGGTATAAACTCACACTGCAGCTGTTACAGGTTCCTTTTAAGCCCATATCACACTGTGCTTTAGTTTATAGTACTGACTCCGCCCACAACATAAACACTACAGAACACAGCTGGAGCGTTCTGCTCTCCTCAAACTGACACGTTCTGTTTATTTCATATTTTATTGTTTCCAGTGGTCGTAATTTTAACACTATAAAGTTTGGTCAGTAGGGGGAGCTGTGCACTCACTGCTCAGCCTCAAACTCAGTTTACAAGCACAGTCATTGACTCACAGCTGCTGAATGCTGATGTTTTATAGGCTTCCTGCTGAAACATCTGCATGAGTTATGGCGTGCTTCATGTAAATGATATGTTTATGAAGGTAAATTGAGGCGTGTCTGCTAATTATATGTAAATGAGGTACTCGTGTACAGGCGCTTGTTTCCACCTCTGAAGATTCATCAGTTGAGCTCAAATCAGAGCTTGTCTCTGTTTTCTTACTCCAGTTTCCTGAATCAGATTCAGAGTAGTCTGTCCTTCATTCAGGGCGGTCAGATCTGAGCTCTTCTCCACACAGGTTTGATGAATAAGGACACAATGTGAATGATGTCCAGCACTGTTCTTTACACTGCAGTCCACTCAGGCAGTCTGAGAGTGAATGAGCATTGTGAGGTCCTGCCTGTGTGGATCAGAGCTCTTTTAATGATGGACAGACTCTACTGAAGCTCTACCAACTCCTGTTTGTGGAGGATTAGTAGGTTAGTAGGCAGGTTAGTTAGGGTTCTTGTGAAATGTGTGATGAACCAAGTAGGGCAGTTTTCTCATCATGCCCTGTGAAAATAATAGCTTTGGAGTCCAGTAGCCAAATTACTCTCAGAACAATATTACACTACTTTATTATAGTAGCCCTTTGGATAATTAGGTTACTCTTTATAGTATTAACAGGTGGTCAGTATCTGTACTGGACTACATTTTAAAGTGACCCTCTCAGCCCTGTTAGTCCCACTAGTTCATACAGTCTGTTCACTGAACCAGGTTTATGGAGTAAGACTCTGAAATGATTTCTGCATGTTTATGTTCCTCATTAATAATGTGGAGAAATATTTTTAAATTGTTTTTTTTATCTAAATATTGTATGTAAATATTGTCTTTAATACATTTCACACACACAGTGTGAGAATATGAACAGTAACTAATTCTACAAACAGCTGCTACCTTGAAAACAGATCAACACCTGCTGATTTTCTCTTCATGTGTGCTCGTGTTCATTCTTAATCTTCTCTGTTTACAGAAAGGCCAGAAAGGGAAGAACTGAACAAAGGTAAACTGGAGTCTTTATTTTCTTACTGTTTACATTTGTTTAACCAGAGAATCTGAAGTTTATCTGATACTGTATGATCCACTGAATCAGTGTGGAGCTGAAGGAGATCCACACATGTAAACAGTGGAACAGCAGAGGATCTGTTCACAGTCAGAACTGTTAAAGAAGAATAATAAAGATCTGATGTATTGAGCTAAAGAGATGTGTGGATATCTGCATATGCAGATATAAATATCTACATATATACTATGTACGCAGATTTGAGTAGACAGAGACTGTAATAACTATTATATACAGAATTTTACAGAATGGTATTAATATTTATACAGTTATGGAGGAGTTACTGTAGTACAGTGAGGAGGTTTGATGGTCAGTGTAAAGTGTGAGTGTCCACTTTGGTTAATGAGCTGCAGCTCTGGGGAAAAACCTGTTAGCATGTCTGGTTGTGCTGGTTTTGATGGTCCTGAATCTTCTACCAGAAGGGCGAGTCTGAAAGAGGTGATGTTCAGGATGAGAGAGGTCAGCTGTAGTTTTGCCGGTGTGCTTAGTCATCCTGCTGTGGATGTCCTGAAGCGTTGGCAGATACATCCAGTGACCCTCTCCACTGTCCTGATTGCGCTCTGGAGTTCTGTGGTAGTGGTGAATGATGTGAGGACGGACTTGATGATCGCTGGGTAGGACTGGATCATCAGACACTGCGGGAGGTTGAATTTCTTCAGCTGTCTCAGGAACAACATTCTCTGCTGTTTTCCTGTGGGGGGGGTGGGGTGGATAGGGAGGGGTCAGGGTGATAGAGAGGGGGAGTTGCGCCTGAAGTCCACCACCATCTCTACGCTCTTTTGCATGTTGAGCAGCAGGTGGTTGCTGCTGCCCCAGGAGACCAGCTGCTCAACTCCCTTTCTTCAGGCAGACTCATCATTCGCTGTGAGGCCCACCACAGTGGTGTCATCTGCAAACTTCAGGATCTTCACAGCTGGTTCCTTAGAGATGCCGTCATTGGTGTAGAAACTGAAGGGGTGAGAGCACAGAATCATGTGGTACTCCAGCACTGAGGGTCCGGGGGTCTGATGTGTGTTTTCCTAGCCACACCTGCTGTCTCCTGCTTGTCAGGAAGTCTGTGATCACCAGCAGATGGGATCTGGCACTGACAGCTCTGTATGCAAACTGCAGGGGGTCCAGCAGAAAGTTTGTAATAGGCTTCAGGTGGGCTAGAACCAGGCGTTCATGACTACAGAGGTCAGGGCTGCTGGCCTCTAGTCAATCAGTCCAGTGATTATTGTTTTTTGGGGGACTGGAGTGATAGTGGAGGTTTTGAAGTGTGAGGGAACAGAGAAAAGTTCCAGTGACTTGTTGAAGATGTTGGTGAAGATTTGTGCTAGTTGATCACAGCAGTGCTTTATGGCATCTGGCCCTAGAGCCTTTCTTACCGTCTGTCTGCTGAAAAGCCTGTTAACGTCCTGCTAGTTGATGGTGAGATGAGGGGGGTAGAGGCGAGAGAGCCAGGGTGGGGGAGGTGGGTTGGGACTGGGGGAGAGAGGCTGAAGATTGTGTGTTTAAATCTGCAGTAGAACTTATTCAGGTTGTTGAGTTGCCGTTCATTCAGAAAAAGAGGATTTTTTTCACGTTGTAGCTGGTTTATCTCCTGGAGGCCTTTACAGACTGACGCTGGGTCAGTAGCAGTTATGGGGCTTTAATCCCATTGTCCAACCTGTATTTGGTCTCTTTGTAGAGAATTCTGTCCCCACTTCTAAACGCTTCCTCCTTTTCCCTCTGAAGCTGTCTGAGTGCAGCTGAAAGCCATGGTTTATCATTGCTGTATTTCACCTGTTCCATATTTGAAATGCAGCTGTCCTCGCAGAAACCCACATATGATGTCACAGTATCTGTGTGTTCATCGAGTCCGTCTGGCGCCTCTTCAGAAACAGTCCAGTTTGTTGGACAAGCTTGCTGGTTTTGAGTTTTCTGCCTGTATGTTGGGATGAGGTGGACGAGACACGAGTGATGAGTATTTTTAACAGTGGAGTAGTAATGATCTACTGTTCCCTTCTCTTGTGGCACAAGTGACATGCTGTGTGTACTTCAGCACTTTCCTCAGTACGTTCACTCTATCACCGTCTCTCAAACTGATGAGCAGCGAGTCTGGATTCTCACTTTCTACTATTATTATCTAATCAGCCAGCAGTTTCCACGCATCTCTCATGCGCCTTTCCAGTGTAGCAGAAACACTGACCAGTGTGAAAGACGAAGACTCTCTTGGAGAGTAGAACAGTTTGCAGCTGAAGAACAGTGAAAACCTCTAGGTGCATGATTTTATCAGTACTGTGACGTCTTCACACCAGCGTTCACTGACACAGGAGCAGATTCCTCCTCCTCTAGCTTTGCCGGTTAGCTCTGTGTCTCTGTCTGCTCTGTGCAGCTGGAAGCCGTGTCGGTCCAGCGCGCTGTCTGGGGTCAGATCAGGAGGTCAGGTCTCTGTTCAGCAGAGGGCAGATGAGCCTGAACAGTCACTGCTGGTTTTGTTGGTTTTATTTTGAGATAACGTGTAAAAACAAATGCTGACCTCAAAAATCAGGACGTCGTCTTTAGAGTAAGTAAGTAGAATGTTCAGCTGTAGTGACTCCAGAAAAGATAAAGACTGTTTATCTGAAGTTTCCACAGAGCTGCTGCTTTTCTTCTCTGAATTTTTTTATTTGTAAGTAAAATATTATGTGGAACTGTAAGATGTTAAAGTCCTTTAAGCTGTAGGTTTATTACAATCAAAATATTCCATATTTCAGTGTTTCACTCTCTCTCTCTCTCCCTCACTCACACATACTCTCTCTCTCTCTCTCTCTCTCTCTCTCTCTCTCTCTCTCTCTCCCTCACTCACACATACTCACTCTCTCTCTCTCTCTCTCTCTCTCTCTCTCTCTCTCTCTCTCTCAGTGCAGTAATAAGACGATATAAAGTTTTGGTAACGCTGCTGCCAAAGCAGTGAACAAGAAACACAAACAGAAATAAGAGAAAGATAATAATTCAGATTACAGTAGACCACTAGAAATGAAGTTATTCACAGGATTAATAATCAATAAAGGAAAAGGAAAATAAGAGTCAACACAATTTCAGAATGTTATTACTTTATTATTTTAGAATATTATTTGATGTTATTTAATCCTTTCCAGGTCAAATTATTTTTCAGTCATCAGCAAATAAACCATTTGTTAAAGAAGGATAGACTCCTAATCTTAGTTTTAATCTTCATTAATTATTTGTTAATATTAAAATTAATATGTATTTTAGTATATTTTTAATGAGACTGAAAAGTCAGTGTTGATTGATGTGTTATAAATAATATGCACGCTTTTGAATTGTTTTCAGGAGAAATTCTGAAATTAAACAGCTTTGGACTCTCAGCCATTTGCATTTAATGTGCAAACATATATATATCACTTCTTTAAATCTGTTTTTTATCTTGATCTTCCTGTCAGTCATAAAAGTTTTGAAGCCTGAAGAGATGCAGTGTGAAGACTCGTCAGTGGAGACTGGTTTGCTAAACCATCTAAAAAAAGTCTCACTACAGGAATTAAGGGAAAAGCTGCAGCAAATTCTGGAATCTCGCTCTGAAGTTGT